AAAACTAGGATTTGAAAGATGTAACACTGCACCCCAGCCCGAGTGCCTCCGGGGTCCTTCTGTAGTGTGGTGGTTAAGCACTTCGCGCAGAGAGCTGGCTCGCATGTGGTACCTGTGGTCCGAATCCCAGCCCCCGTAGCTTGAGAAGCACATGCGGCATGTGTGCAGGCGCCCAGGATCCTGGGAGGAGGGAGAAATGGGGGACTACAAGGGGGGTCCTCTCTCCTATGGTGTGCTCACACACCTCTGGAATTAAAAAAAATTGTTTACGATTCATTTATTTCTTCTAGAGGTGGGCACCCCAGTGGGGTTCTCTGCTGTGATCCACCTCCAGCCTCACCAGCCCAGAGAGTTCACAGTTGTACCTCTCACCGTAGCAACGGCAATCCAAACGCTTAAAAATGTTTATTGCCAACATCACTGAAAAAGCCCTTGTTTACTAAGGCAGCAGGTTTATGTGATTTGGAAAGAAAGCAGAGTATGGGGGCCTGAAGGTGGCATGGTGATTAAGGCACTGGACTCCCACGTGGCTGACCACAGTTCATGTCCTGGACCTGGCGGCTTACTCCCTACCCCTCTCCCCATGCCCTATAGCAAAATAAAAAATAAATACATTTTAAAAAATAAATAATTCTTTTTTTTTTTTTTTGAGAGGTTTTCGCTATAGGGCGCATGCACTTGCCAGACAGACAGAGAGAGACATAGAGACAGAAAGCAAGAAATCACCCCCCAAGGGGGATGGTCACGCCGCAATCCCTTCTCCTCCATTCTCCTCTCGGGATCTTGGGCACGCACGCACACGCGCCCGGCGTGAGTTTAAGCCACCGGGTCGGGGACGCGAACCGCGGTCGACTACGTGGGAGTCCAGTGACATAGCCAATACGCTAACTGCTGGTTCCCATAAAAGTAAATAATTCTAAAAAAGAAAGAAAGCTGAGTGTGATGGAGTTCCTGTTTAATGGCCTTCCCCTATAATTTTGGGAATACAGGTCGCCTGCCCCTATTAAAACAAAAAGTGGTTTCCAGCTCAGAGATCGTGGACTTCCCGACCCCGTCCCTGAAGCCTGGAGGGCGAGTGGCTCACACAGGGCCGCCTCCTCACTCCCTCTAGGGGCCCCTGCTGCAAC